TTGTTTTTGTGTGTGTGTGTGTGTGTGTGTGTGTGTGTGTGTGTGTGTGTTCGTTTATATATTGGATCGGATTTCTTACATTTTTCAACCGATTTCAACAAAACTTCACAGGACTACGTAAAATTACCTTGTGGTGGTTCTGACAGCGCCAAAAATTGGAAAAACACAATTGTTTTTGCACGAAATCAATTTGAAAAAAAAACGATTAAGAGGCGAGAATGAAAGGGGGACAACTCATATCGAGTTATACTTATTATAAACCCCAGGTTGTTTGTATGTGTGTGTGCGTGTGTGTCTGTTCGTTTATAAATGGGATCGGATTTCCTACATTTTGCAACCGATTTCAACAAAACTTCACTTTTTTTTTGGCAGGTAGTGTTTCTTATTCTCTTGCACACTTTTTTCTTTATTTTTACATTCAGAATGCTTTACAAATTCCATTTACAAGACAATTGTTTATAATAAAATTCTATTTAATCGGTAGACTCATAACGATTGAAAACAATGTTTTTGTTTGAGTTTGACCAATTCGTAAAAAAAAAAAAATAAAACTAATTAAGACATGCGTGTCCGTCAACCTTAAACAATAATCTTTGTCAATTTTATTTTTCAGTCTTTATGATGTTCGATACTTGATCTATCTCTTACTGTTACATCCCCGGGAAACGCCGGGATCTTCTGCTAGTTTTTAATAGGTAGCTGACTCAGTTAAATATGACTTTAATATCCGTTCTTTAAACCTTATACTTTTTTCATCTAGAGCTAGTTAAATACGTTCCATAGTCTTTAAGACCACAATTGGAAATCATATAATTATTAGGTATCGGAGAGGGAGCAGGAGTAATGGATAGCGGCGTGGATTGAGAAATCGGAGAGCCGAGTTCGAATTCCATTACATTCACTTTCGTGATAATACCCTTGGGAAAGATATGAATCATTTTCTTTCATACCTTTCGAGAGCAGGACAAAACAGGATCTATAGCCATGGTTTGCAACTGGTCTACCGCGGAAAGAAATAGCAACCGACTGCGAAAAATATCTGCCTCGTTAATCATGTATCGAAAAATACATGATCACCTTAGCGTGCATCACTTATGACACATAACTGACTGAGGAGTGATTGTAAAATATTTTCTAATCTCTTTGGAAACTACGTCATTTTTCCTTTTAGCAGAGATTAGCAGCATGGCCCGGCGTTGCCCATGCTTGATTCAAAAATCGTACGAATCAAACAGCAATCGCTATCACTTGACTTAAAACATTTTTACCCTTCCTTGTTTTTAAAGGAGTGGCCTTTGCCGTGCTGATGTTGCTACATGCCTTTCTTCTTGCCTATCTAACACTCCGAATATTTTCTAAGCTCTATACTAAACATTAAATCTGTTACGAAAAAAGAACTAAACAAAATGAACACAAAACGATCAGCTTTAAAAAATGTACTCGTAACTGGAAAAACCGAATGAAAAAAGAATGTTAACAACAAATACTTTTTCACGCCCAACCCAGTTCTGCGGAATCAGAATCAACGTTGAGTTTAAGCAAGCGAATGAGCCAATTGGAGTAAAGTGCCATGCAGACTTAAATTTTTCCCACTTGTGACGAATGCAGCTATCGATTTTTTTGCATGCTAGCATGCTAGTTAACATTCGTGTCAGTCAGCTGTTGGCTCTCACACTGGCCAATAGAATCTTCCTGCCTATTCGTGGCAGCCAGCTATTGGCTCTCACTTTGGCAGTAGAAAATGGCCGCAAACTAGATGAAATCTGCCGTAGAAGCATGAAAATATGGATTATTTCTGCTATCGATGGAATTTGGGAAATGCAAAGTTGATCTTGGCCTTCCCACTAACTTGGCATGTGCATGTAAATTTTGGTGCAAATCCGTCGAAAATTGCGGCCGTGCATTCGTTACACACACACACACATCCTGCCTTTTATAGAGAGTGATAGTTATGCAGGTACCACTATCTTTAATGACGTTGTAGACAGTCAAATATCTTTAATAGCCGTTTTTTTTTTTTTAAACACATGATTTTACCTTGATATAGTTTAATATGATCTACAGTCTTTAATGAAGTCTTTTGCAAAACATTTTCTTACACGTCGCGGAGACAGTTAAAATTTTCTGTCCCTATAGCCGTTCTTTTTTTTTTTTTTTTAATCAGATGATTTTTCCAGAGATAATTAAATATGTTCCACATTTTTTAATGACCATTTTTGGAAATATACAAATCCCCCATCCTTCTTTCTCATAATTATTAACTAACTAATGTAAATATTTAAAGGTTAAAAAAAATAATAATACGGTAGATGAAGTTTGCTTGTTACACTTTCTTTTGAGGTGACTGTTTTACAAAACCATTTATTAATACAATTTACTGAAACAAATGAAGTTCCGTTGGCCATTGATGACAATTCCAGAAGCTATAATATTATATTATTTTTTTTTTTTTTGGAAATAATATAATTGTTACAGGTAACTGAGTCAGTTAAATATATTTATAATAGCCGTTTTTTGAAACCACATGATTTTTTAACAGTTAGCAGATATAGTTCCATAGTCTTTAATGATCTCTTTTGGAAATCATATAATTTTTACAGGCATCTGAGATAGTTAAATATTTTCTAATACTATTAAAGGTTTTGAAACCACATGATTTTGGCAGAGATAGTTAAATATTTTCAACTTTCTTTAATGACCTTTTTTTGGAAATCATATAATCCTTACAAGTAGCAGCCGTGGATAATTTTTTGGATATTTTTATTAGCCGTTTTGTTAAACCACATGATTATTTCTGGCGGTTAAATATATCCTACAGTTTTTTATGACCTTTTTTGGAAAACTTAGAAATCTTAAAAATATCGGAGACTGTTCAGTATTTTCTATTTGCTTTAATTGCTGTTTTTGAAACCACATGATTTTTCTTTGTGGCAGAGATTGTTAAACATGTAAGACAGTCATTAATGGCATTTTCTGGAAATCATATGATACTTACAGGTAGCGAAGACAGTTAAATATTTTTTTTAAATCTCTTTAATAGCCGTTTTGTGAAACCATATGATTGTTCCCAGCGGCTTAGATAATTAAATACGTTTCACAGTTTTTAATGACCGTTTTGGGAAATATTATAATTCTTACAGGTAGCGGAATCTGTTAAATATTTGCTAATGTTTTTAATAGCCGTTTTTTAAAACCACAAATTGTTCCTGGTCGTAGAGATTCAGTCTGGCTCCATACATTTTAATGGCTATTTCCCGAAGGTATGTTGAAGCTGATCTTTCAAATACTGAATTGCATGACTGAAATTGTTCCATACATGATGAAATAACGTAATCAAATATTTCAAGTTGATACTTCCTGTATTTAAACTCATGGCTGTCTCAACCCTGTTGCACATATATCTCTGCATGTGCAACGCCCACAGAATCGATCTTTATTTTATATTTTGTTAATTTCTGGAAGAATGCACGATGTGGCGCGATCAACGGTTTTGTCAAGGCCCAAATCCTCAAGGCCAAAATCCTCAAATCCTCGGGTCATGATAACACGCCACTTCCGGCTAAAAACACCAATCAGAAATTCGCAATTGTCTACCCAGTTTTACTCACAAGACTCTCTTCAGCTCTCGTCTCGCCGATATTTTTTAAGAAATCGCTTCCCTGAGGAATTGAAAATGGTGAGTTTCGGGTTTCATGGACGGAAGGCTGGCGTTCTAACCACCTGCTTACTGAGGAGTTTCATAAATCTCCACAAACGCAGGTATTTAGCCACTTTAAAGAACGACCGTAGCTTCAGATCAACCTCCACACTCTTTAGGTCTATTTCTGCTCAGTTTACCTCCATACACTTTAAATCTATTTATGCCCGTCCTGGATGAGAAGAGAAGCTACATCCGCGTCCCAGATAAGACGATAAACTACGTCTAACAGAAAGGCCTCTGATCAGGAGGTTTTGAGGAGGTGGGAACCATCTCTTAATTACTGGTATTCCCAGATCCACCCTGACCCGGGGTGGTAGCACCTGTTAGGATTCCAGCTATGGTCAAATAGTTAACCCCCGAACCGGGGTCAAAACACTATGAAAGTGTAAAAATAGTTTTTAATTGCAGAAATATTTCGTAAAAACTTATTACCAGCAATAAATTTTTGAAGAAAAAAATATTACTTGCAATGTATTTTTGAAGAAAAAAATATTATCAGCGATACATTTTTGAAAGAAAAATATTACCAGAAATAGTTTCTTGAAGAAAAAATATTACCAGCAATACATTTTTGAAAAAAATATTACCAGCTTAAAAATTTTGTTGGTATTAAATAATCCATTACAGTTGATATGCCTATATATGCTCAGTTTATCTCCATACTCTTTAAGTCTATTTACGCTAAATTGACCTCCACACTCTTAAAGTCTATTTATACTCAATTTACCTCCACACTCTTTAAGTCTATTTATGCTTAATTTAACTTTTCCACTATAAAACTACCAATTTAGCCAAACTCATCTATCAAATATGGTGCTAGTTTTTGTGGGCTTTAGAATATAATATTGAATTATTCCAGAATTGCATTCATTTTATTTATAGTTTCAAAAGTACAGGGTGATTGAAAAGTAACTCCTTATTTTATGTATTAGCGGCCAACCAGTAGTCCTGGTTACTGATTTTTCTCTGGGGTTAGTTAAAAGAGCAAGTCTACCATATCAAACCAAGACATTAGAAGAAGATGAAGGGCGAATACAAGAAGTTATGTCTTCCATATCACAAGTGTTCCCGGGTAAATCACGATTCCTGGACGGCTCGAGAGGCTTCTAGCGAAATCCGATGGCCATATCGAATTTTATATAAAACCTCATGCTAAACGCTTTCCTTTCATATCCATTTCTAAAAAAAAAATTATAGTTAATAAATAAATTATATGTATTTCAAGATGAAGAGTTACTTTTCAATCACCCTGTCGTACTAATATATTTCTTTTTCTTCTGCTTTTTCACCTTCTGCTCTTATGGCTTTTCACTCTCCCTCCCTCCCTCCCTCCCTCCCCCACTCTCTCTCTCTTTCTTTCTTCTATGTTAATTGTTTCATTTCTGTTTTTTCCATCGTTTGTGTGTGTGTGTGTTTGTGTGTGTTTGTGTGTGTGTGTGTGTGTGTGTGTGTGTGTGTGTGTGTGTGTGTGTGTCCGGCCTCCATAGCTGTTAAATCTAACTGGATGAAACATTTAATCTGGCAAACATCTCAGTTTTCAGCCTCATGTGTGCAATGAACAAATTAGGATCTGTCAAAGTTGCCGGCTATAAATATCCGCCCCCCAAGCTTAACGTTCAGCTGGGGGAAAGGGTCCTCTTGTTGTGAGGGTTAAAGAGCCTGTTTCTTAGACCATTCCTATTGATTTCGATCCTCACTAGGTACACAATATAGAGGGTTTTGGACCCAAATTGAACTGGGCAGCTTCGTTGTCAAACAATTATCAACGTGTGGTCAATCCTCATTTTGTGCCTCGTACGCATGACCTTGTGCCAAACTGCTATAATTTGTTTCAAGATATCTTCATTTAAATATAAATATTTACAGTTTTCCTTCCTTTCCTCTCACCTCCCTCACTCATAGTTTTTCAATCTCCCCTCTTTCTCTCTCTCTCTCTCCCTCTCCTATTTTAATTTTTTAGCTTCTGACTTTTCTCATCGTTTGCCTACAATTATTTCCCTCTTTCTCTTCCTCTTGCATTGTTGTTTCATTTTCCTCTCTAGCCCTCGCTCAGCGTGTTCTTTGCATAATTTCCGCCTCCGATTTTCTCTTTTCTTTCGCTTTTTCCAATTCTCTTTCTTTCAACTTCTCCTTCAGTTTCGTTTTCCTTCAATTTATTTCTTCTTTTTGCTTGCCATACCTTTTATAATTATTTTCTTAGCCGCGTCTGATTCACTATTCTGTTCTATTCTATTCTATTTCATTCTATTCTATTTTATTCTATTCTATTTTATTTTATTCTATTCTGTTCTATTCTATTCTATTTCATTCTATTCTCTTTTATTCTATTCTATTTTATTTTATTCTATTCTGTTCTATTCTATTCTATTTTATTCTATTCTATTCTATTTTGTTCTATTCTATTCTATTTCATTCTATTCTCTTTTATTCCATTCTATTTTATTTTATTCTATTCTGTTCTATTCTATTTTATTCTATTCTATTTTATTTTTATTCTATTCTGTTCTATTCTATTCTATTTCATTCTATTCTATTTTATTCTATTCTGTTCTATTCTATTTTATTCTATTCTATTTTATTTTATTTTATTCTATTGTCTTATTCTATTTTTTTTTATTCTATTCTCTTTTATTCTATTCTGTTTTCATTTTATTCTTTTTTTATTTTTCTATTCTATTCTATTCTGTTCTATTCTATTCTATTTTATTCTCTGCCCTATTGCTTTCTTTCTTTCTTTATTTTGTGAGCATTTCTTTCCTATTTTCTTCATTTTTTTCTTTCATTCTTTTTCGCGTTTTTTCTTCTCTATCTTTCTTTCTTTCTCCTTTTTGCTTTCTGTTACCATCATTTTTTCATTTTTTTCTTTATTCTTTTGAGATTATTGCTTTAATTTTTTCGTCTTTTTTTGCTTTCTTTATTTCTGTCTTTCTTTCTTTCTGCTTTTCTTTTGAAATTCTGTCTTTTATTCTTTATCTGTTTTTGCTTTCTGTTTCATTCCTTTCTTCATTTTTTCTTTTCTTTTATGTGACTATTGCTTCACTTTTTCTTTTTGTTCAAGCATCTTTCTTCCTTTCACATTTTGTCTTTCTTTCTTTTTCTTTCATTCTTTTAAGCGTTTTTCTTCTTTCTTTCTTTCTTTCTTTCTTTCTTTCTTCTTTTTACTTTCTGTTGCATTCCTTTCTTTTCTGTTTTTCTTTTTTATTATTGCTTTACTTTACCCTTTTTAGTTTTTCCTTCTTTCTTTCTTTCTTTCTTTCTTTCTTTTCTTTTGCAATTCTCTCTTCTTTTCATTTTTTCTTTCTTTTTTCGTTTAAGTCTTTCATTCTTTCTTCTAATTTACACGTCCTTCTTTCCTTCTTTAATTATTTATTTTTTGATTATTTATTGCCTTCTTTCCTATCATTTTTTTATTTTCTTTCAATAGCATCATTCATTCTTTCTTTCGTTCTTTCTATATTTTTACTGTTTTTCTTTCTCTTCAGAAACCAGCTTCTTTTATTAAATTGTTTTGCTTCTTCCTCTCATTTCCTTTTCTTCTGCTTTTTATTAGTCGTTACATTTTTTTACTTATCTTAATAATAAAACATTTTCTTATGTTTCTCCCTGCAAATTTACCCCCATCATCCCTGCCGCCTCCTTTGTCCATTCATCTTTCAAAACAATATTTCCTCACCATCGCCATCTTCGCTATCATAAATGTCATGATTATTATTTTAAATCACTTCATAAAAGAAAAGACAACAACAAAGTCCTTTTCCATCATCCAGGCTAACATGAAACGTTGATGAAAGGTTGTATATACATTGTTCGGGGTTATCTCATGGTTTAGTGACTTTAGTGTGACGTTGCAATTTGAAACTGGCCGCTCATCCCCGACGGTGTCACAAGATTATGGTAACCTTGCGAAGTGATGTGACTGAAAGATTCCGGACTCGTGCAGTAATATCAGAATAATGTTTCTCCTCTTAACAAAATAAAAAAAAGAATATAATCTTTAATCATATTTTTTGAACTGACAGTCACTAATATAGATTAATGCCACTTCTTCTATCTTACGGGAATTTATTTGAAACCTTACAAGTTAATGTTTCGTTGCAATTATAGAGTGTATACAAAAAAAAAGGTTTTCTCATGTTTTAGCGATTGTTGCAGAAAGGGTCTATCAACGCTTTAGATAAGAATCGGGCTGTTTCTTTGGATAATTCGAAGCCATTTGACAGGGTTTGGCATAATGGTCTTCTTCGTAAGTTGAAACGTTATAATATATTCAAAACGAAATTTCTGATCTGATTCCGTCTATTTTAACTATTTAAATTTTTCGGAATATTCTCCTCATCTTGACTGTCATATTCACGACGTATCGGTCGTTTTACGCTCCGACCTTCCTCAGGTGATATATGTTGGAATTTCCAAACTGAACCCTTTATTTCGTCCACTGGGGTAGATTGTTCTAGTTCCACCTTCTCTGGAAATCTTAGTTTCAGTTATCTCCCTTTAGTATCTCAAATCTCCAACAATCCTTTTTTTTTTCTTTTTTTTTTTTTTTTAGACATTCCTAAATTGGAATGGAACCTTATGTTTTAACGTTTCAAATAAATTCCCGGAAGATATTAGAACGGACATTAATCTATTTTAGTGACTGTCAGTTGAAAAATAAATAGTGTAACTAGTTACGCTACCTCATCTCAGAAATATAGAAAGATACTGATTCTGTCTTATCAAATCACTAAATGACCGTTGTCCAAAACGGACACTGTTCCAGGTCTTTCTGCAGTAATGCATGTATCCTCCAAACATCTATTCTCCGATCTAGGCTGTTCCTAATTTATATCAATGGCTTTTTTCATGGCATGGATTCTCAACTCTGTATCTATGTTGATAGTGCAACTATTCACTACTGTCTTAGTATTAAGTTTGATCAGATCCGATATTTTCAAATTGGCAGCTGATATTAAAAAAAAAAGACCTACAATATGCTGTTAACTGGGGTACGGAATGGCTTGTTAATTTTAACGTTTCAAAAAGGAAACTGCTCTCTATCAGTCATCTGAGAGGCCTCTTTCTGCCTTCTATCAGCCTGGCTGATGCTCCAGGAGGATGATCCGTTGCGCCATCTCGAGCTGACATTTTCAGCTAACAAGAAATGGACAGATTATATTAAATAAACTGCTAAGTCTGCGGCTAGAAAAGTTCTTTCACTGTGTCGTGCAAGACAATTTCCATCGCCAGAAAATATCTTACGTACTTATAAGTAAACCATTCGTCCATGCCTTGAATATTGCTGCCACATCTGATCTGGTGATCCTGCTATATGTTTAGAGATTCAATATAAAACCCAAAGAAGAATCTGCAATGTTATTGGCCCTTACCAGGCATCTCGGCTTCAGTATCTTTCCCAACGCCGTAATGTTGCTTACATGTGCCATATCTATAAATACTTTCTGTTGTAGCATATCTACGGACGATAACAGGTATGTCCCCTTTCGCATAAATACAGTAGTAAATACTGTATGTTGGTCTGCTCTTGGAGATTCGTCTCCAGCTGTGCTGGCTAAACTCTCTGCCTCCGGGCATAGAGGATCCTCGGATGAGGTTATGTCGAAGGACAGATTTTCGGAAAAGGCTATCCGACCCCGTTTTATACGGGGTCTTCTGGGAAATTTTGGCCCATCTCGAATTCCCCCACATTACATTCGGCCTTGTGCCAGATCTCACTGCGTGGGGCGGTTTTTAGATATCATGTAGTTGGAGATTTGTCTCCAGCTGTGTTGCTCAAATTCTATGACTCCAGGCAGAGAGGATCCCCAGACGAGGCTTTGTCGAAGGGCAACGTCTCATTTTCGGGAAACAGCTACCCGACTCCGTATTATACGGGGTATACGGGGAATTTTTGGCCGAGTCTAAGGGCTCGGATGCCCCGCATTAAATTCGGCTTTGTGGCATATCTGACCGCGTGGGGTGGTTGTTAGATATCCTTCAGTCGGAGATTTGTTGTGGAATTCACTTCTCTCGATGCACCACTGGCAAATCGTATATGTGTTGTTCTTGTCGTAAGTATTATCGTTCATTACCAACCTTCGTGTGATTATTCTATTCAGTAACCTTCCCTAGGTTACAATACTTTCATGGTAACTGTTTTGGATAATTTTCCTCTATGCTACCTAGACCATGTAAATTTAAGCGCTGTGTTAGTTTGGTTTCGTCTTTTTTATAGTTGAAATGGCTAGATGTAACCGTAAGTTCTATGTTAACAGTTTCTTCTATCACACTTCTTGCTTGTGGAACTCTCTTCTGTCTTTTAACTTTCCAGTCAAGTTTGACCTTCAAAAAATCAAATGTAATGTCAGCTGTTATCTTTTGTTTCTTAATTCTTTTATTTTTTTCTCTCCTTAATAGTATTTTCTTTTTTAACCTACTCTCTAACACTCAGTAACCTCTTGCAGCTTAGTGGCTTTATTTCCTTTCTTGGGGGAATTATTTAAAAATGTTGCTATGTAACAGTAAAAAGTTGTAGGAACTTTGTACTAATGTTGTTATCTTGGATATTAGCTTGAGTCATATTTAATTTCCGATATTGTTTGTCGAATTATTCTCTAAAAAAATGAAGTCGAATTACATTTTATTCGGTTATAAATTCACCAATTACTTGAAATGACTATATGCAACTTATCAGGTAGCTCTTATATATATACTTTGAGTAAAACTCCACAGATTTCGATGTGAAAAATGTTTTGGGCTGACATTTGAATCTGGTCTTCGTTAGATAAAGTTTTCTTCACCAACGCATTTTGCAGCGATAGAAAAAGTCAATAATCAGATTCGTCTAAGTTTACGTAAACATGGTGAATTGATTAAAAGAGATCAACCGAATCCAAAAGGTTTTTTCTGCGTTCTGGTTGCTGTCTTGCATTTTCATCGGGGGGGCGGGGGGCAACAGCATTTTTCCATTGACAAAACAAGGAATCTTTTCTTCAAAATTTTATAGACATGTTGCAGATTCTGGTCCATATAAATCTGCATCAACTTTTTTTTTAATGCGTTTTGAGAATACTAGAAATTTTTCACAACACGCCAACACATGTTGAAATCCTTTCATTATTTTTGTATTGTTGAAGTCGTCGCTAAACATTTGCTCAACGTTTACAATCTCTACGCTCCGCTCAATTGCACAATTTAAGGCAATTAATTAATTACTAGATTGATTTATTTGAAAAAAAATACTTTGAGAGTTTAAAAATTTCTTTAATTTAGTTTTATAGAATATCATGGTAAACAATATTTTTTTTAAAAAAATTCTTTTTTTTTTCTTTTACCTTTTTAACAGCGAAGAATATATTATTAGAATTTCTTACTCTTAAGCATGCATCATACAATTGGCCATGCGTAAATATTTGTTGCTGGAGAAAAATTCTAACTTTTTGAAGCCTTTTGCCGTGTTATTTGTTTATACTTCTCGCAAACGTTGGAGCGAATTGCAAAGTGAATAAAAGAAAAGATATGCAAAAACTGAATATTGAATTTTTGTTGTATAGTAGTTTCAAATTGGAGGCTTGCATTTCACTAAGTCGGTCCTAAAATAGGTTCGACGTACAAAACGTTAGGAACTTGATATAATAGGTAATCACGCAAAGAAATCTAGTGGTGGTCGGTGATACTTTTAGTATCCGACTAACGGTCGTCCGACATCGACTAACTGACCAACTCACTGAGCGACTTCGCGACCAGCGACTGCTACTACTCCTATTTATTATAGGTGGGGGAGTCTATTAACAATAGAATAGGTGTGTTCCACTATAACAATTTTATTAAATAAGTATGTGCTATTTTAATAATTAAACTGTTTTATAATAGTGGAAGTTTTTTTTTTTTGTATGTTAATTATTAAAATATTTAATTTTCTCCCCAAAATATTGTAGATTTATAGTACTAAGCTACACACCCTAGTAAAACCAACTGAACTTTGTGCCCCCTTGCCTGTTTGTACTTCTTCCTCAAATTTGCATTCGATCGGTCAATACATGGCTATTTTAGCGGATGTGACGGACGGGCAAACGGACGGAAGTCACATAATTTATATATAGATTAAATTAGTAATATCCTAACGTCTCATCACAAGGACAACATTAACTTCCTTCCATGGAACATTTTGAGATAGGTTGTGGAAATTTAACCTCATCAATCCATTGCTTTTTGCGTTAAACATTGTTGTATATAACACACTTTTCATTAACTGTTAGGGTATATTAAAGTATCGGTTATTTAGGATGATTTATTTGTCGTTACAAATGGTTCCTAAAGACGGAAATTAGTTATGATTCAAGTTTAAATTGGTACGAATTTATTGAAAAATCTGTCTGTTTGTTTTATCTTTTCTTTACGCGTAAAGTAATTATTTAGTGACAATTTTGATTGATCAGCAGACAGATTAAAATACGACTTCTAATTCAGGAGAGAGAAAAAATAAAGAGAAATAATTTACATGAAAAGTAAAGAAAAACAATCAACTGACATATTTTTCAATTAAGACTTTATTTTAACATAATTAGAATGTCCAGAGTATTATGGTTTTTTAAACT